TTTGCTATATATTTGCTATATATATATATATATATATATATATATATACTGTATATAGTATCATTTCATTAAAAACATATTTCAACATATTTCCAAACAAACAAACACTAAAAGGATAGTTCACCCAAAAATGAAAATTCTATCATCATTTACTCACACTCATGTCATTTCAAATGACTTTCTTTTGTGGAACATAAAAGAGGGTATTTTAAAGACTGTTGGTAGCCGAGCTGTTTTGGTTAGACAAAAAAATGCTAAATATAGTTTCATGCATGCTTAGAAATTTTTATGGCTTGTGATTTTCTCTTTTCTTTCGCAAAAAAGGTTAATTTTGGACCCTGACTGTGGACATCGAGGATAACATTTCTGTCATCTAGTATAGATGAAGGGTTACTCAAGCTTATTATTTGATGTCTGACATGAAAAACTGGCAAACCAGCGGAGTGTGTGACGTCTGTTGTTTCTTGTCTTTCTGCAGGGATGCATCTCACCAGCACTGCTTGTGGCGTGTGTACGTGAGTGTGTGTCAAGATGGTGTGTGATGTATTTCCTCTGTGCTTGGCTCTAATCAAAGTCGAGGTCTCAAGGCTTTCCCTCCTGCTTGTTTGCTGTTCTGGAGAGGAGACGTGATCATCCATCAAGAACCCAAACCCTCCTCCAGTGGCCCACACTGCCGTTTCTACCGGCTCCCGAGTGATTGAAAAACTTCCGCATGCAGATTTGGGCTGAAATCACCTCCTGCTTGCATTTCTCACGAGAATCTGAACGGTTAGCTCAGGTAGTGCAGGAGATGTCAGTTAAATTAGGACAGCAAATGCTTTAGCACCTTTATAAAGGAAACATTAATTTGATGTGAGAGAGTAGCATTTCCAGCACCGAGAAAAGTGCTGTTTTCATTTAGCTTTATAGTAGGGCTGCACGATTAATCGAATACGATTGTCATGCGCATTTTGTTAGTAAAGTCGGTTCTGTAATCAGCAGGAAATCATCATCACGTGTTTTCAGATGGAGCAGAATCGAATCGTGATCTCGATTCCATTTCGATTTATCGTGCAGCCCTACTTTATAGTTTATTGTCTAGATTATGCAAATCAGATTTGTAAGCTTTAGATGTTTTCATAATACGATTTAAAAAAAAATTAAAATTAAAATTTGATTTCGGAAACTTTTATGAGACAAATCCGTCTTTCTTAGTGTGCTTTCTGCTACCGACTTCGATAACCTCAGCCGTGATTTTCTTATCATATCGTACCGCAGCTGTGTATCGCAGGGAATTATGTAGAAATGAAAACTAAATGAGGAATCATTTTTATGAAATTTTTTTAAAGCTAATCCTCTGTCCTTAATGATATCTGCTAAATTGAGTTCAGTAATCAGCTATGCAGTAAGGAGTTCACAAACTGTGCCATGACCATTGAGCCAGATGAAAACTAAAGGATCAATATTCATAAAGGGGGTGAATCTAATGAAAAAAAATGCCAAAGGAAAATAAATAGAAATTATATTTTGCATGAAGATTTTATTTGAACAATTAAGCACATTTCCACCAAATTTATAGAATGCGAAAACAATCTTGTTCATCATCAAAATACTTTAATTAAAGAAATCAAATCTGAATACATACATCTGTATAAAATAAAACTTTATTGTAGATTATTGGAGTAGATTTACAAGAAAATATTATTTCAGTCACTTAATTTCACATTTAATTTATTGTGTTGCTTGTTGCTTCTTTGCAATTATTTGTGAAATTTGCCAGCAATTTCTGAGTGAAATTGTTTTAAAGTAAATCCTACACCAGTTTATTTCAATTCACCCTTTATGCAAAACATAATGTCTTATTTTTGGGGTAAAATATGACCCATATATTTCTTAACAATTTTCCTGAGATCCATTCAAGGACAAAATCACTACATTTTCTATTTTTAAAAATCTACATGTGTCTCTTTTCCACATTTGACTCCCGTTTATTGTATTTTTTTTTTAAAGAAATTATATTGTGCTTATATGTGTTGTCTTGTTATATTGGAAAAAAAAAACATCTGGCATTTGGATTCAAGTTGAATGGACTTAAGAAGACAATCAAAGTGCGATCTGAACTGAATGACAACACCATAAAAATGTCACATCTGTGATTCTGTTTAAGAATGGAAAGAACTGATTGCTGTAAGCAAAACAACATAGTAGTATTACACAAAGTGGGCAATGTTTATGAGTATTAATCAAATACTATGTGACATTTGAATTATATAATGCGAAAACAATCTTGTTCATCATCACAATACAGTAAAGTAATCAAATCCAGACACATAAATCAGTATAAAATACCACAATGTAAAAAAAAAAAAATCAAAGCTGTAAATTAAACTTTATTGGAGATTATTGGAGACGTTTTTACAAGAAAATATTATTTCAGTCTTCATTTCACAATTAATTCATTTTGGTACTTGTTGCAAAGTATTATTTGTGAAATTTACTAGTAATTTCTGAGTGAAAATTGTTTTAAAGTAAATCCTACATCTTTTATTTCAGTCCACCATTTATGCAAAATATCATTTCTTATTTTGGGGGTAAAATATGACCTAGATATTTCTTGACAATTTTCCTGAGATCCACTCAAGGACAAAATCACTACATCATCTATTTTTTAAAATCTATATATGTCTTTTTTTCAACATTTGACTCCCATTTATTGTATTTTTTAAAGAAATTATATTTTGGTTATATGTGTTGTGTCTGGTTTATTATATTAAAAACACATCTGGCATTTGAAATCGAGTTGAATGGACTTACGAAGACAATCAAAGCGCGATCTGAACTGAATGACGACACTATAAAAATGTCACATCTGTGATTCTGTTTAAGAATGGAAAGAACTGATTGCTGTAAGCAAAACAACATAGTAGTATTACACAAAGTGGGCAATGTTTATGAGTATTAATCAAATACTATGTGACATTTGAAGCTGTGTTTATTCTTTTTGTATCGGTCGATTACATTAACATGTCTCATGTGTTTAGTGAGAGCAGCTTTTCCTCAGTCTCTTCCAAACACTAATGAGCTGAAACAATTCAGCCAAGAGAAATATTGATTATACATTAAAAAATAATTCAGTTTGATTAAAAATAGACAATTTTAGCCTACATTTGTGTGTGCATGCTTATTAGAGTATCACGTCGCTGGCTTAGCAACATGCTGACATCTAACTATTGAAATCGATTGTGAATTGACTGCTATTTGCGTTTGTGAGGTTAGGATACTGATTTAGGCATCAAGGCAGCTCACTAGTATTTGGAACAGAGCTGTAGTTTCTCTCTGCACTTTCATCCGTCTATTTGTCAACTATTTATCTGAAGCCCTTTAACCACCAGTTTCTGTCCGTGTTGTCATGGAAATCTGTCCATATGAGCTAATTAACCTTGTTTCGGGTACATTTTCCTCAGAACTCATTAGTTGACCTGTTTAAAAAATAAAAAAATGGTCACGATCTTAACCAAACTGCCTCAACCGACCCCGTCCTGCAGGTTTAACCAGGAGACGGCGCTTTTACACAAAAGCAACTAGACCACAAGACACCTCTTCAGATTCTAGTACTGTGTGATGGTGTTATGTGGTGACTAAAGATACTTGTTTTAGATGAATTGATGTCTTTATTGGAAAAAGACGAAATCGTGCATACCTCAGATGTCTGTTTTATGGTTTCATACTGATAAGTGTTAGACCCTGGTGCACTTTGTTGTATTGATTTGCCTCCTACAGTGGTTTGTGCAGATTCATGGATCCTGTCGTTTATGTCTCTCTGATCAGCATGTGATTATTGGTGCTCATATAGCAGGCCCTGCTATATGAGCCTTATCCAATTGATCATCCTTTCTTAGAGTTTTGGTCGTGCCATTTGTGACTGGTAGCTGTGTTTTTATATGTGTGAGGGACAAAGAACTTATTGCTGATTGGCTACAAGTTTGTTTTGCTATTCGGCCCGAATCAGTTTTCTTTAAGTACACTTATACTTTAAGTACCAGATAATGTGTATCATGTCACAAAATGATTTTAATACGACTGAAACTGTAGGCTATTTAACGTGATCACAATTGAAATTATATTGTGCTTATATGTGTTGTCTTGTTATATTGGAAAAAAAAACATCTGGCATTTGGATTCAAGTTGAATGGACTTAAGAAGACAATCAAAGTGCGATCTGAACTGAATGACAACACCATAAAAATGTCACATCTGTGATTCTGTTTAAGAATGGAAAGAACTGATTGCTGTAAGCAAAACAACATAGTAGTATTACACAAAGTGGGCAATGTTTATGAGTATTAATCAAATACTATGTGACATTTGAAGCTGTGTTTATTCTTTGTGTATCGGTCGATTACATTAACATGTCTCATGTGTTTAGTGAGAGCAGCTTTTCCTCAGTCTCTTCCAAACACTAATGAGCTGAAACAATTCAGCCAAGAGAAATATTGATTATACATTAAAAAATAATTCAGTTTGATTAAAAATAGACAATTTTAGCCTACATTTGTGTGTGCATGCTTATTAAAGTATCACGTCGCTGGCTTAGCAACATGCTGACATCTAACTATTGAAATCGATTGTGAATTGACTGCTATTTGCGTTTGTGAGGTTAGGATACTGATTTAGGCATCAAGGCAGCTCACTAGTATTTGGAACAGAGCTGTAGTTTCTCTCTGCACTTTCATCCGTCTATTTGTCAACTATTTCTCTGAAGCCCTTTAACCACCAGTTTCTGTCCGTGTTGTCATGGAAATCTGTCCATATGAGCTAATTAACCTTGTTTCGGGTACATTTTCCTCAGAACTCATTAGTTGACCTGTTTAAAAAATAAAAAAATGGTCACGATCTTAACCAAACTGCCTCAACCGACCCCGTCCTGCAGGTTTAACCAGGAGACGGCGCTTTTACACAAAAGCAACTAGACCACAAGACACCTCTTCAGATTCTAGTACTGTGTGATGGTGTTATGTGGTGACTAAAGATGCTTGTTTTAGATGAATTGATGTCTTTATTGGAAAAAGACGAAATCGTGCATACATCAGACGTCTGTTTTATGGTTTCATACTGATAAGTGTCGTTATCTATCATACGCGGATCCGTTCCGGCGGAAGGCGTATGACATATGCGCAGCGCGGATGCGGGAATGGCGCATCACGTGTGCTTAGCCTACTGCATTCACCGTAAAATGCATTTTTAAAATATTATATATATATATATATACACAGGGTGCGATTTGTGAAAAAAAGCAGAGGGAGGGATGATTTTGAAAACTTTTTTTTCAGAGAAAGGCTTTAAAGTAACCTAATGTTAGTGTAATCTGTTAACAAAGCACACCATAAACCCGTCTTTTTAGGGAAGTACCAGATAATGTGTGTCATGTCATGAAATGTTTTTAATACGACTGAAACTGTAGGCTATTTAACGTGATCACAATTTAATAAAAACATTAGGCCGATTAATTATTTAATTTCAAAGGTTATCCAAACAACGAATAAATTATATAGGAAAGTGAGCAAACAACATTTACAGTATCAACGGAGCTTTTTGAAACTCCGAATCAGTTAAACCATTGCGTTGCAAAATTATTCGAAGTGCTCCAATCGGATCGCGTATCGGGACTTCAAAGCGCGTATCGGGAAGATGCGTAGACCAGAGTGGGGGAAACCCCCGGCTAATCCCACCCTGTATATATATATATATATATATATATATATATATATGCATTGTGATATAGTCAAGAACATTAAAATCTATTAAAATCTGCATAAAGGCAGTGAATATCATAACTATGACTATCATGCTTTCACATTACATTAATGTACTATTATTATTACTGTAATGCAAAAAAACCCTGACTTTTTTGGATTACAGTAATAATAATTGTGCGGGAAAATGCTTAATTTATGGAAATGTCATAATGTCAAAATAATTGAGTGAAATTC